AAGGAAGGAAGGAAGGAAGGAAGGAAGGAAGGAAGGAAGGAAGGAAGGAAGGAAGATACAACAAGCTTAACTCCTTAATATGTTACTGAATCTAGACCATATGGAAATATAGTCCCCTTACAATAAGAGGATGTTTCAAAGATTGATGGAGAACACATATCTTGAATCTATTCTTTAACATCTAAGTCTTACTTTCCTGCTACTTTTGTAAGGTAATTTTCATAGCTGATTCCCCAGGCTCATTAGAGCCAACATTCTTCATAAAATGACAAACTGTGTATTCCAAAAGTATATGATAACCTGTACAGAGAGAGGATCAATCATATTTTTGACATCTAACTACTTTGTTCAACAAAGAGATCTTAAAAACTTGAAAGCTTTCATACAGTTTGTAAAAATTTGGTTGGCCCTTTATGGATTGTGGGTATTTTTGTTTGTTTTCCACAGCCCATCTGGCTATGCCTGCTTTTTATATAAAATGGTTTTTCTATAGGGCACATTAGAAAAATAGAAGGGAGGGAGGTACACTGAAGTTTGTGGCACAACAGAAACTAGGTAATATTGAACTAGTCTTCTCTAAATTCAGGATATTTCTTTGGCAATGTAACTTGAAGAGTTATTCTTTGGATTATAGAGACATTAGCAAATGGAATCATTCCTATCCTCATTACTATGGCAAATAGGTTCATTCATGTTTTGACTTCAGTTCCTTTCAAGCTTCTTTAGCCTGAGCATGCCAATGTCATATCTTGCCGACTGAGTCAACAGTTGTTAAGTTTCACAAATGAATGAATGGTGAACTTGCCTGGAGTGGGGAATATATACCTCACCACTAAGACAGAGGTGCATCCTCTAAGTGCTTCATCAACAAAGAATTTTGGAAAGTGCCATTTTCTATTTTAATTCATATCCTTCCCCAAAAGCTATTTGGTTGCATAAAAACTAACAAAGCATAGCTCAGCTTTGAAGTGGCGCTAAGTATACAGTATAGCAAAAACAGAACCACAGACTTACTGGGATGCAATGTGGGGACATGTTGTCCCAGTCTGTCATCTTTAAGCATGTGCAAGAGAGTAGTTTTTCCAGCATTATCCAATCCGAGAAATACTAGTTTACCTGTTTTCTTGTATAAGCCTGAAAAAGAAGGAGACTATTCAGTGAATGGGAATTAATTTTCTCAGCTAACATTAGAATAGCATAAGAAACCATTCTGATGGAACATAGGAATTCTGTATAGCCCCATGTGTTCTCAGCATTTAAAAGCAAATATTCAGACGCTGCTCTGGAAGATGCTGCTTGAAATATGATAGGTAAACACTGAAGCCTTCAAACCAGAATGCCAACCATATTTCTTCTAGTTCATGTTGATCATCTAAGTATGAGAAAGGGCATGCAATTCCAGGAAAATAAATGGTTCAATTTAAGGCTACTAAAACATTTGGGAAAGATACCATTAGTCAGTGGGATAGCAGATGCTTTTCATACAAAAGATCCCAGGATCAATTTCTGACATCTCCCGTTAGAAGAATCTGATCGCACGTGAAATCCCGAAGAGCTGCTGCCAGTAATAATACTGAGCTAGATGGACAAACAGGCCAACCAAGAACAAGGCCATCTCCTATGTGTCTATCTGGCAGGATCGCCTTTATCACATCTTGGATAAATGGGATTTGTGCTACATTCATTAGCAAGGCTACTTCACACAGTCCTTCCTACCTAACCTAAAGAAACACTCTATGGTTAACCTAACCCTATGCTGGCAGCATAAAATCAATAAAGAGAGCAAGCTTCCAAAACTGGCAGAATTTTCCTAAGATAGAATTGCAAAGATGAAAAGTGATACACCTTGGTTAAGTTTTATAGTTCGATAGAAGTTATGCCTTCTTCATTAAGTCCATTATGCCCTGGTTTTAAATGGCTTTTCTTTTTTAAAACATTTATATTGCCAATCATTTATAAATACTGCGAGGCAGGCCTCTGGAACTTTGCCTCCCTGTTGCAACACTCTGTAATGTGAAAGCCTTTAAAAAAGAAAAGAAACTGAAAAGTCGGAAAGAATACATTTAAGTAAAAATGCTTTAAGGTATACATGGTATAAATAATACAGACATTGGAATCAAGTTATCAAACAATGGTTAGTTCTGCCTGTCAATGGGCAGCTTGTTGAATTAAAATTATTCAGAAATGTTGCTGGTCACACCTCTGCTCCTTTTCATTTTTCCTCACCTGCTGCAGAGAAAGAGCAGTCAGGTAGTGATGACTATGATTGCCATCTCTGATTTTTCCCAGGCAGGAAAAGAGCCAGACTTGCCTACTGCCATCATGCCCAGGCAAAGGGAAGTTACAATAGAAGCGAATATGTGTAGCTCAGGGTTGAACTGTGGAGTCCTTGGGGTTCTCTGAGCTTGGCTGTTTTCTTGCAAATGTTTCGTTAACCTGGCTAGGTAACATCTTCAGTGCTAGAGTGGAATGGGGTTTCAGCTCTCTGAAACTAAATTAATCTCACAACACATGGACAGACTTAACCATAGTTTCAACTGGGAAACTGTCAGCATCTTAGACCAAGCTAAATC